GTAAATTTTTACAAGTGAGTTTTTCGAATTGAAATCTCAATTCTTAAAATCATACGGGATGCTAGATTTGCATCTCACATATGAGAGACCCCGGACAACAGTATCAGACCATCTCCGATATATATGGGAATATTGCGAGACTAACTCCAAGTGCCTCGGTGGCCTAACAGGGAAGGCGATGGCACGGTAAGCCGGAGATTCCAGGTTCGACTCCTGGCCGAGGAGTTTTTTTCGCAATATTTTAATTATTAGTTAGGGGGGGTATCCGGGGTCTCTCATATGTGAGATGCAAATCTAGCATCCCGTATGATTTTAAGAATTGAGATTTCAATTCGAAAAACTCACTTGTAAAAATTTACAAGTGAATTCGTTACATGTATATACATATATATATATACATGTATAAGTTCTCGCTCAACACTTTGAGAACGGCTCGTAAGGCCTTATATTCATTCATTGGTTTAAATTTCACGAGCCTTAAGTCTTTATTAATTATTAGAGTTTTTTTTATCCACCTTTATGTGTGCAAAAAATTATTTAGAAATTGTAAATATGTTATTGGATGATATTTTAGTTCTCAAATTCGCCGCTAGGCGGCGTCACATTAAATAATTTTTTTACAAATGAAAATAACGCACAAGCACATAAAAATAGCCTATTGATTGGGTTAAATTCATAATTTATAAGTCCATTTGTTTTTCTTTCTTGCTGTATGTACTTTTTTTTTCAACAAAATGGATGATGACGGAAATAATGAACTTGATGTTTGGAGTAGTGGCGAGTCCGAGCCAAGTAAGGCATATTTGGACGATTTCGATGTTTTTGATAAAATTGATAAAGAACCTGAAAACTTATTATTTGGATATAAAATATTTTATGATAAAGATTTTGATTCTTCCATAAAAAATTTTACTTAAAAGTCTGGTATTTGCGATGATATTTCTCTAAGCGATAACAATCCGATTCACTACTTTGAGCCTTTTTTGACGATTCTTTATTAGAGATAATCACTAAAGAAACAAATTGTTATCAATATTAGAATCCTAAGCTACTACGCAAAAAATGAAACCTTGAGTAAAGTTGACAACAGATGAGTTGCGAACATTTCATAGTCTAAAAATTCTGATGAGTCATGTTAGAATTCACTTGAAGATTATTGGAGTACCAATCCCATGCTAGTGACTCCAATATTTCCACAAGTAATGACTTGCAATAGATATCTGCAAATTTATTTTACGCTACTTGCATTTTCAAAACAATGAAGTTATCACAAATTATCCACTGAAAAAAATCAAACCCGTAATTGATGATCTAAATAAAAAATTTTTAAATATCATGATCCCAGGAGAAAAGCTATGTATCGACGGAAGTCTCCTTTTATAGAAAGAGAGATTGAAATTCAAGTAATTTTTGCCTTTGAAAAGAAATTGGTTTGGTATAAAAATATTTGAACTTGTTGATTGTCAAAGTGGATTTATATTAGACTTTGTTATTTACACTGAATCAGATACTGATTATGAAAAATTTGGTTTATACGTATCAGATGATGTTGCTCATTTTTTAAAGATATATTTTTTGAAAAGTCACATTGTTTTTGTAGATAATTGGTATACTTCTCCTATTGATGCCAAATTTTTACATGAGCATGATACGGGTTTATGCGATACAGTAAAAAAGAATAGAACCGGACTACCTAAACTAAACAGAAAACTCAGAAAAGGAGAAGTAGAGGTTGCTCATAATCTCATCTAGATGGCTATAAAATGGCAGGATAAAAAGGAAGTATACATAATAACTACTGTACATAAACTTGATTTTAGTGCCACTGGAAAAAAGAACTAAAACTAAAGAAGATATTATAAAACCTACTTGTATCATTGACTATAATAAAAACATGGGAGGAATTCATAACATTGACAGACAACTAGTTTTGACTAAATCAGTTAGAAAGTCAATAAAATGATACAGAAAGTTATTCTTTTACTTAGTAGATTTAGCGTTGACTAATGCTCATGCTTTGTACAAAATAAATAATGAAATGATATCTTTTCCTGATTTCCGACTAAAAATAATTTCTCAGCTTTACTCAATTTTGAGACTAATACATCTGTTTCTATTCAGTCAGATTCCTCTCGACTTATAGGATATTTCCCAACATATTCAAATTCAAGAAGGCGATGTACTCTGCGTTCTTTGTCAAAATATAAATCGCAATCTCGCTATGTCAGTAATATATGTGACATAGCATTATACGTAACACTTTGCTTTAAAAATTATCACACCAAAGCTATACTGTCATAAATACAATAGAAACAAGTACAATAAAAAAATCAAATAAAAAACATAAAACATAAAAAACATACAAAAAAATAAAATATACAAAAACCATAAAAAACCACAAAAACATATAAAACAACAAAAAAAAGGAAAAAACAAAAATACTTTCTTATCTACTTTTTCCTTCTTGTTAGCCCTGGATAAAGGTAAAATTGTTTAAAATTTACAGTGTAATCTGAGATACAAAATTATTTATTTATACATGATTAACCACTAATAATGCTACTGTATTAAAAGATTTTTGCAATTTAAATTCAAAAAACGTAATCAGCAATATAAAAAACTCTGAAAAATAACATTTTTTAAAAAAAATTTGAACATTTTATAATTTTCACTACTATTCCCCGCCTGCTTAGCGCCAAAAGGAGTCAGGTGAAATCTAAGGCTCTTCACACAACATAATAAACTGATGTTTTATATAAATATTTTACAAAAAATACCATGTTTTTAATGGAAAAATACCGGCGGTCCAAAAGTTAACGGTATGGCCAATGTTGAAAATTTTCAAAATTAGAATTTTAGTGGTTTTAAATGTTTTTTATATCGCTAAGTACGATTCTAATGTCAGATTATCAAAATTTTACACAGGAACAATGTGTTGCCAACCGAAATAAGTCTGAACGAGTAACAGCAATTACATTCATATATATGAAATTTTCCTTGAGCGTTACCCAGAGCTAACGGCATGGACTAGAAACTTATATAGCTTCTTTTTTATTTTATAATTTTGGGAGTTTCTTGTAGTTTTTAATTTTTTTTTTATCTTTTTATTTTGCTATTTATTGTTTTGAAATGGAAAAAAATAAAATTATAAATAAATGTATATTTTGTGCATAAGAATTTACGATAATGTTCATTTTATATAAAATTTTCAAAACAAGATGTTATGCATAATGCAGTATTACAAGTAGAACATACATATCGAGTTTGACGTCTAATTTGATGTAATAAACACAAATGACACCGTCAATTTTTATCAAGTACATATATATAAATACATGCTTCTCAAGCACATTAATATATATGCATATACATCTATTATATATTTTTATATGCACATTAAATACCCTGATAGCCAAGCATGTTTTACAAAATTATGTAACTTAATGCTGAGTTGAAGTTTTCGACTAGTTGCTGTGTATTTGCTGAAAACATGATGCATAGTCATACGTAGTCGACAACACGAAGGAATATTTGAGACATTTTGTGTCAGCAGATTCAGAGCAAACAGAGAGCAACTGTTGCTTATTAAGTTGTCAACAAAATGACTTCCATTCATTGAAAACTCTTTGCTTTGTTATTCGTTTTCGGCAACATAGAAGCAACAGGACGTAACAAAACAAGACACCGATGTCTGTACTTCTGTCGTATGGTTGATAAAAACTGGTGACATATATTTATTCTATCTTGTAGCCCATTAAATGTCGAAAACAAATGACCGTCTTTTAAAATAAGTAGACAAAAATAATTACATTTTAGTAAAGAACAAGTGGTCTCGCGGACTGAGTGCAGGGATTGCAAATATGAAGGTCTCGAATTCAAATCTCAACCATTATCTTAAGATTTTTGTCCGACTCCGGTACTTTTCATCGAGTTAATCAGTTGATCGGCAAACTGAATCAGGTATTCAAAGATTATTTCGAGTAAAATCTCGAATTATTAATTTCTCTCTCACAAAACGATGTGCTATTGAATATATATATTTATCCTTTTTCGACATATTGTATTTTTGCTGAAATTTATGACACGTGTTGTTGGCAACTTGTTGTCATGTTGCTCTTTATATTAGTGATAAACCGTTGACAGCAAGTTGTCGACAACACATGTTGAATACGTGTCATGTCAAATACCAGACTCACCTTTTTCTAAATGTGCTGAAAACTTAAGCGTTTTGTTTTCGGCAACATGACAGCAAAAACACACAGGTATGCCTAAAAAGATGTTAGAAGATATCCTGAGGACACTTTTGTGAAAACATACAACTATCCCAGCAAACACAGATATACAGCAACATTGTCGTAATAAAACAAATGTAACAAGTAATATAACATGGTCGTTGCATGTAACATCCATGTTAGTTGTAATTTCCCAGGTAGCAAGCTCACGTGATAATGACGTCAGTTTTTGGTCTGCAAAACGTCAATTATACATAACAATGACGTGATTTTGACGTACATATCACGTGATTATGTCACATCTTATTGACATCATTACGAGGGTGGGGTGAACAGTTTCCTGATAAAGAAAAACAATTTGTTTTGTTTTTTGTTTTGCTTTATTTTTCAACATAATCTCCATCAAGATTAATACATTTTTCATAACGGTGCTCTAATGCAGTGATACCATTTTTATAGTCCGATATGTCAAGTTCCTCAAAATCCTCATTTACAGCATTGATGACTTCCTCGTTGCTCTCTAATTTTTTACCTCCAAGCCATTTTTTAAGGTTAGGAAACAAATGATAGTCGCTGGAGGCTAAATCTGGTAAATATGCTGGTTGGGGGAATAATTCGAACTTCAATTCGTTGATTTTAGCCATCGCAACGACCGACGAATGGGCAGGTGCGTTGTCATGGTGAAACAAGATTTTTTTCTTCGCCAAGTGAGGTCGTTTATTTTTCACTTTGTTCTTCAAACGTTACAATAACTCTGCGTAATAGTGACCAGTGATGGTTTTACTTTTCTCCAGGTAATCAATGAAAATAATTCCTTTCGCATCCCAAAAAACAGTTGCTATAATCTTATTCGCTGATAAAATTGTTTTTGCCTTCTTTGGGGTTGGTTCACCTGGTCCAATCCATTGTTTCGACTGTTGTTTACTTTCAGGAGTGTAGTGGTGAATCCAAGTTTCATCCACAGTTATAAATCGACGCAAAAATTTGCTGAGGTTTCGCTTGTACAGCGCCAAATTTTCGATTGAAACAGTTTTTCGGGTCAAAAACAATTTTTGATCGACTGTTAGCAAACGCGGCACCCACCTAGCACAGAGCTTCCTTATGCTCAAATGTTCATGTAAAATATTGCGTACACGTTCAGTTGACATCCTAGTAGCCTCAGCTATCTCACTTACTTTTAGTCTGCGGTCCTCCATTACTATTTTATGAATTTTTTCAATCATTTCGGAAGTTGTGACCTCAACGGAACGTCCTGAACGTGGATTGTCAGAAGTGCTCGTGCGACCTTTCTTAAATTCAGAAACCCATTGTTTAACCGTTGAATATGATGGAGAAGAGTCTTTCAGTGTTGAATCCAGCTCTTTAATTTGTAATGGTGTTAGGCCATTTAAATAAAAGTATTTGATGACCGCACGCTTCTCTGATTTTTTCATTTTCACGTAAGCAATCAAGGCGTCTTGTTCAATCGGCTCTCAAATGTACACTGATAAAGCAATTGACCTGAAAATTTATATACAAGCTAGTGAGATATAGTACTATAGAATACAAGCCAAAAATTAGACCTGCTGGCGCCATTTTTAGGTCAGGCCAGAAACTTTTCACCCCACCCTCGTATATTACGTCAAGTAGACGTGAATATAATCAAAAAAATCTCACTAATATAACATGGTAAAGACGTTATTGTAAATTTAACAAAAAAATAAAATACAACAAGAACAATAACTTAAAGAACAATAATATCAACATCTCACATAGCACGTAATATTGCTGCATTACAGTAATAAAATGACCGCCGAAATGCATCGCAGTAATATTACGGTGATACATATATAAAAAAACGCTTTATAGAAACAAAATTAATTCGAAATTTCACTTGAATTAATTTTTGGAGATCTGATTCAGTTTGTCAATCAACTGATTAACTCGATAAAAGATACCGGGCCTGGAAAAAATCCTAAGGTGATGATGGGATTTAAACTCGAGACCTCCATATTCGCAGCCCCTGCACTTAGTCCGCTAGACCACTTGTTCCTTACTATAATGTAATTATTGTTGGCTCTTATAACCGAGGATTTCATGTTTGTAAGTATTTTTCTTTAATTATTCTCAAACTATTCTACACATTTCATTTATTATTTAATAATAANAAATATTTAATACTAATTGTTCTTATTATAAAATTTAGATTACTACAATAACCTTTAGTTATTATTGAATATATATTTATTATATAATATGTTATTTTTAATCGCAAATAAATTTAATATATAAAAGGTAATCAGTTTACCAAAGTGTACGTGGCTACTTACCTATAAATAATTGGCTATACTTACCTATAAATAATGTATTTAAAGATATAGTATTATTCAAAAAAACAAATGTTATTAATAAACATATTATTATAATTAACGGTCAAATTTAACTCAAGTTTGTTGTTAGAACGTCATTTAACCGTTTTATTGATGTCATATTAAAATTCAATAAAGAAGTTGATAGATGACGTCAACGCGACATCTAAATGACGTCATATCGGTGACGTCAACTTTTGGTATTGTAAATGACGTCAAAATAACGTACCATTTATGTTAATTAAGTTTGTGGTCATCAAAATCACTTTATTATCATGTCATTATCACGTAAGCTTGCTAGCTGGGTTCCTACTCATTGTATATTGCAGTTATATAATATGTATATAACATATAAGTATAATGTTATATAACTGTTATTCAGTTACAGAAATATTATATGACAGTTATAATGTCATTACTAGCTAATAACAAGCAATATAATATAATAGCAATATGATATATAGGTATATAACATAATTATATTCCAATTAAAACAAAGTTATATAACACCGATATTAATAGAGTATAACAGTTGTTATATTACGTGTTATTTTTATGTTATATAGCAGTTATGGTCTGTGTTTGCTGGGATGTTACCAATTAATTCCCAGATATGTAGATGTTCTCTGAAAAATCAAAAGACATCCAATATATATAATAGAAAAAGTAGATAGCTTGTAGACATCTAGTAATTATCCAGTAGACATTAATAGTTTATATAGTTTATATTTATTAATAGTTTTACAATACTTACTAATTATAAATTACATTAATCTTACATAACTAAATGTAATCATCCCAGCAAACACAACCCAGATAGCACATGGATGTCTATTAGACGTCCATCGAACGTTCCCTTGTGAACATTGGAACGTTCGATAGATGTCCGATTAAAGTTCGCTGGACGTTTAGTGGACGTACATTCGAGATATGTTTGCAACTCCGTACGACGTCCATAAAATGTCCATGCTGGACTTTCACTAAACGTTCGACGGATCTTAATTGGACGTCTAATGGATGTTTTAATTTCTACCAACGGACGTCCACAGAATGTCCGAAACATGTTCCGTGTTTAAAAGTTGCATTAATTATAAGTTTTAGCACTCTTGGTTATTAAAAATATTTATGGACATAAGTAAATTTTAAAAAATTTAATATATATATGTTATATAACATTTAATAAAACGCAAATTGATTTAAAAATTACAATGTTTCAGAATTGCAAATTTTGTTCGATTTGAGAAAAAAATTAGATATATTTAAAAAACAGCATTTATTAAGAATGTTGTATCATATAAATAGAAGTAGGACAAAATATAATATACACAGTTTGTCCGGAAAGTTCCCGGACT